CTTCGATTTTGCCGCCCCGTGCAGGGGCACCTGGAGCCGGCCCTGCCAGATAAAATAACATCATCCAAATAACAAGATGTGCTTGGAAGCCCATTTAAGATAGAATCCATTACACATTGGAACTGTGCTGGCGCAGTTTTTATCCCAAATGGAAGTCTAGTATAACGAAAAAGACCTTTATGAGTATTAATAACTAACAAGGGTTTTGATTATTCATCAACCTCCATTTGAAGATATGCATTTGATAGATGAATCACACAAAACCAGTTTCTATCAGCCACACTGTTTATGACATCCTCAATTAAAGCTAATGGGTAATGATCCATTTGCAAATAACGATTTAACGTTTTTTGATACCAATATACACACTATAAACAAAAAATTTAAATAATTTTTTTGAAGAAAGTCAAAATGAACTCTCTCAAAATTTCGAATAGTTTTCGGCCAAGAATTACTTAGTTGTTGTTTTTGGACACGGTGAATGAAACAAACAAGATTCACATTTTTTTACAAACTGTCCAATATCATGGTCAATTAAAGGCCACCAAATTTCACCTCTTGCAAGCATCTTTATTTTTATCGTCCCCAAATGCTGCTCGTGAAGAAGTCCAAGGATTGTTTGACGTAATTGGTAAGGAATAATTAGACGGTTGCCCCAAAGCACACAACCATTTTCCAAACTCAGTTCGTTACGTCTTTGGAAATAGAGTACTAAGATAGGATCTTTCACATAAAATGGCCAACCATTTTTTGATATATATGTAACCTTGTTAAGTACTTGATCACTTTGAGTAAATTTTTTTATCTCTAAAGCTGATAAGGGTAGCTTATAAAGTTCAGCCATCGAATACACAGTTTCTTGCACCTCATCTTTCAATGGTAACTGAGAGAGGGCATCAGCTACCGCAATCTCATTAGGTTTTTTATAGGTGATCTCATAATCATAGGCCGATAATTGAAAAGCCCATCGCTGGAGCTTAGCCTTAGCTAGAATCCGAACCCCATTTTTTGGACCAAAAATAGCCTTTAAAGGCTGATGATCAAAGTGTAATGTGAATTTTCGCTTGTAGACTCAGAAGTATTTAATGGGTTGGTTACTTTTACATCCCTTGTTTTTGAAGTTTCTGGCATTGGTTTTCGAAACCCTTTTTCTTCAACCTATTCCTCAGAAGAAGTAGGTAGATACCTAGCTAATTTGCTAGTTATTTTTCGACAATTTTTCACGAAGCTTTTTGTTAAATGTTGATTTCAGATGTTCAGAAATGAAAGAGCAAACTTTTCCGTTTTCAAATGCCTCCTCTAATGCTTCAGGAATTGGGACAAGTAGGTTTAGGATGCAAAAAGTAATGGTCATTATTAATGAAATTTGTTTCAAAATGGATACTGGTGCTGATGTTAATGTTTTGAACTTGAAAACTGCTAAAGAACTTAATGCTGAAGTTCAGTCATCCAATAAAAAGCTATTGAACTATGAAGACTCGTTATTATAATGAGTGTTTATGGACAAACTACACTTATCTGTGAAACTAATAATAAAAAACACAACGTAGTGTTCATTGTAGTCAACTTTAATGCTTTATGCATAATTTATCTTCCATTTATTGAGATGTTTAATCTGCTAAAGAGAGTAGGATCGATAGAACAGGAAGACAAATATGTGATTGATAGTCTAATAAAAAAATACGACCAGATTTTTCAAGGCATTGGTGAATTGACAAATTCATATAAAATTCACTTGAAGAAAAAGGTAGAGCCAGTTGTAGAACCTCCAGGAAAAATTGCAGCAATTAGCTTTCAGCAGTCAGTTAAAAGTGAGCTAGATAAAATGAAGAAAATGGGCGTTTTGAAAAAAGTGACTGAACCAACTGAGTGGTGCAGTTCTATGGTCATTGTAAAAAAGCCCGACAATAGTATTCGAATTTGTTTAGACTGAGGAAATTGCATCCAAGATGGAAGGTGCTAATATTTTTTCAATACTGGCCGACAATAAGGGCTTTTATCAGATCAACTTGCACGAAAAAAGTGAAATACTTACAACATTTAATGCTGGGTGTTATGGGCGATATTATTATAGGATAATGCCTTATGGACTGTGCTCTGCACCGGAAGTTTTTCATCGTAGATTCAAGAACATTTTTGATGGACTTTCAGGAGTGGAAATTTACATAGATGATGTTATAGTCTGGGCAGCAAATAAGGAAGAGAAACAGAGCTAAACGTACATGCCAATGTTCGTTTCAATTTTTAATCAACTCAAGTGTAAATTCCGTTTAAGTGAAGTACGTTATATAGGTCATATGTTTACAAAAAATGGTTTACGTCCTGATAAAGACAAGATGAGTGCTATTTTGCAATTAAACAATCCAAAAAACAAAAAAGAACTACAGATTTTGCTAGGAATGGTTACCTATGTAGCTAAGTTTTTGCCCAATTTGGAGGATGTTACCAGTTCGATGAGACAACTGCTTAAGAAAGATGTAGAGTTTATTTGGTCTGATAAAGAAAAATCTGATTTTGAAAAACTTAAAAAAATGCTCACATGTGCACCCGTACTAAAATATTATGATGTCAATACAGAGGTTGTTTTGTCAGAAGGAACTTTGTAAAGACTGATTTTGTTGAAAATGATGATTTAGATAAAGAAGTAAATACACATGTTGGTATGATAATTAATGCTTTACCAATTACAAAAACCAAGTGTGAAATGTTCAAGAAGGAAACATCTCTTGATCCTGATTTGTCATTGTTAATTTTCTAAAGGTATTCAAACTGAATGGCCACCTTATGAAAATATTCCAGTTAATTTAAAGTATTATCATTCAATTAAAGATGAATTGTATGTAATTGATAATCTTCTTTTGAAAAATAATCTAGTTGTAGTTCAAAACATTTTACGTTCAGAAATGCTGGAATTAATTCATATAAATCATTTTGGACTAGAAAAGTGTAAAGCTCGTGCTAAAAAAAATTTGTTTTGGTCAAACATGCTTAAAGAAATAGAAGATCTGGTTAAGAATTGTGAAACATGCTTAAGATTTCAAAGAACTCATACTTTTGGAGAATTGCAACTGAGAGAATTTCCTCTGATAACCCCTGTATTGGGTGTTGATTTATTTTATTTTCGTACAAAAACTTTTGTTTTGATTGTTGATTATTTTAGCAAATTTTTAGAGATCATGATGGAATTGAAAAATGAGTCTGCAGAGGCTGTTATAACTTTTCTTAAATCCAATTTTGCCAGATACGGTATCCCCTTGTTAGTTTATTCTGATGAGAGACTTCAGTTTGCAAATTTCAAATTTCAAAATTTTTCAAAAACTTGGAATTTTAAGCATAGGTATAATTTCAAGTTTATACTATCCTCGTTCTAATGGTATGGCAGAAAGGCATGTGGGTATTTTCAAAACAATGCTCAAAAAGGCGGAATATAGTGGACAAGATCCGTATACCTATCGTTTTGCTAGAATATAGGAATACTCCTATAGATTTTGAAATAAATAAATCTTCCAGTGAAATTATGTTTGGACGTAATGTGAATGCCTTTCTTCGAGTACCAGAAAATTTTATGGCGAGGAAAGTGTAAATAACAAAAAGGTTGTTCAAAAACATTAAGAACTCAATAAGGCTAAACCAAAGTTTTTCAATAAAGGGGAGGTAGTATTAAAGATAATGTTCATGATATGACTGAAGCAAAAATAGTCAAGGAGGGTAATGCACCACGTTCTTATCAGGTTCACTACCTACAGGCAATGTTGTGACGAGAAATAGATATAACATTTATAAAGCGTCACCTAGACAGAAGTTTGAGGTGGTTGGATCTGGTTTAAATTCGCAAAATACAGATGAGAAAGAGCAGAACTTGAACTTGATAGCCAATAATAGGTACTGGTCAATCTATAAAATAGAAAGAAATTATAAAGCAGAATATTAACCGCTAAGTTAAGGTTTTGACAAAACTGGAGTTCTGCCAAAGGCTGGGTATTTCTTATGTTTCTTAAGGACTTATTGTTTTTTAGATGTTTTTGTTATTACCTTTACAGTGAGTTGGGTGTCTGTCAGTTGAGTAAGCTACTGGAGTTAGAGCAAAGTAAGCATATTCATAAAATCATTAATAAGACAATTAAATGTAATACTAGCTTGTCTTTCAATAGGGATCTTCATTTGTATAATACTAGGGTGCAGGATAATATATATCAAGAGGTTGTTAGAAGTAATATTGGTCTGAATAACCCATTAAGTAAAGCTATAAGTCAATATAACCGTTTGCCGTTGGCTATTAGGAATATCACAAATTGTTATTCATTTTTAAGTAAGCTTAAGCAATACTTACAAATATGTCCATAAACTACTTTGTACACAAACTACTCTGTACTGAAATATTCATAACTAGCTGGTGAGCAAGCACAAAATTTCTTAATGATTCCGATACCAGTGTTTAACACACTGCTTAGAAATGTTATTGTTATTGTAACTTACATATATTTTATGAAATAAAAGTTTTCAAAAAAAATAATTTTATAATAGTTTATTGCTTTTTATTTATCAGTATTATCTATAATTTCTAGAGAAAGAAGGATGTCAGGTAGTTACCAGTAATATATGTGGTATAACAGAGCAGAGGTGACAGATATATTGACGAAATGAGCAGAAATGGAGTTCAGTTTAACTTGAAATAAATCTTTGAAACTATATTTCGTTTATTCCAAATGTCCGAACCTTACAGCTATTGGTTAGTATTTGCTGATGTTCTTTTTCAAATTTTCCATAAGAAGTAGTTGGTAGAGGCTACTACCATAGAGGCTACTACCTACTCTCCAATGATATGATTTTATCCTAGATTTATATATCGAGCTTCAAGTGAAGTATAGCTCTAAAAAAAGCCAAATACCATATTCAAAAAAACCCCTAAAACTCCAACAAAAACATCTCAAATCAAAGTCCAACCCCATATACGATTATTGAAAATATTCTTATATAGCTGGAGGTGTCGTATAAGAGCCGAGACGACATTCTCTTCAAGACTTTCTTCAAACGGATATACCAAGAAGCAGTGCAGTAGCGTGTGGCAGTGAAACAGACTTAAGTGTCGAGAAATGGTGTGCTATCAGTGTTAAGCTCCTATAGTGATCAATTAATTCATTTAATTTCAAATTTAATTATTTTGGATTTATTTTTGGATTATAATAACTGAAAAATGGTGAGAATTTTTATAACATTTTAGCTTTTTTAACATTTGGGTTTGAGTAAAAGGGATGAAATTTTAACATTCATAATCGGCTCTGACGGTTGCTGTTAACTTTCATCGCTGGACGCTGATATTCAGGCCTATGATGAATAATTTTCTGTTATTTTAACAGTTACCTGTCAGTTTGTTTTACATATAAAAATAGAGACAGGTATAGATTTTGAGCTGTTAAAATAATGATTATTGCCAAAACATCATTTATTCATATTGTACTTACATCAATATCTAATTACCAATTATTGCATCAAATATGATTCCGAAATTTGTTGAAAAGATTTATTTTTAATTCTTAAACAAAACTAATTAATTTTTAATGACCCATAATTTGTTAACACCATCATGTGTTTAACTAAAACAATTAAAACAAATTTCTATGGTAATTTCCTATGCTCTCTTAATGTTGAGCAACTTTTTCACAATTTTAAACTGTTGGAGATTTTTAGATGATGATTATTAATTTACTATGCAAATATTACGTAACTTGAACGACTTTCTTCGGTAGCAAAAGATATTCCGGTTCCGTAAGATAAAACTATATCGGACAAGAAAACGCTTTAAGTTGCGGTTTCTCTTAATTTTCTTTCTTCTTATTTTACATTTCATGGTCCACAATTTCTTCGTTTAAAGTAAACTAATTATTATGTTACAAAAGTACAATAATTTGAAAGGCACAATTCATTTATTATAAAATGGTATTTGGAAAGAAGAGCAAAAGTTTGATATCAAGTGAAATTCAATGAATATTTATTGTTAATAATAAGTTGTTGTTGCGGTTTCTTGGAGAAAATTTCGCGTGTGTGGTTAAAAAGAAATTTCAATAAAATTGCTTCCAACAGGAAGCTCTAATAACCCAATTTTCTTTGTAGAAAAATTTTATTATTAAATAACTATTATGCATTATGCAGAATAATGTACTCGTAATAATGGTAGGAAACTTTTATAAAAGTCGGCTACCAAACATATGTTTAATGGAAAGTAAAACAATGACTTGTTATATTAAAGCATTTACCCACCAGATTTTATTGCATAAGAGTAATTATTGACATTTATTTACTTAAAATACCATGGATGAAGGATTTTTTAAATTGAGTCACAGTAGTTATTATCTACTAGATATTTGTAAGTGAGTCAAGTGAGGTAAGAACATCATTATTACACGAGTGTGTAATCACAAAAGTTGTCGTTAGGTGGGCCCACCTAAGACAATTTTCAAATTTTTTCACTAACTTTATTTAACCGTAAAATGACAAACTGGGCGTTAATATTTGGCTCAGAAACTGAGTTATATGGCTCCTTTCCTGACTTAACTCAATAATAGAAATTGAACTTTTAAGGGCCGGTTTCTCAATAGCGGGTCATCTCCGGGTTGGTTTTAACTCCAGGGTAAGCGTGTGCAGTTACAATGTTTACCCTACTGGAGTTATGTTTAACCTGGGGGTGACCTGCTATTGCGTAAGAGTAATTATTGACATTTATTTACTTAAAATACCATGGATGAAGGATTTTTTGAACTGAGTCACCGTAGTTATTATCTACTAGATATTGGTAAGTGAGCCAAGTGAGGTAAGAACATCATTATTGCACGAGTGTGTAATCACAAAAGTTGTCTCATTACTCTACAATAAAATTTGTTTGCTCCTAAAGGCCGGTTTCTCAATTATAGCGAGTCACCCCCGCCGGGTTAGGCATAACTCCAGGGTAAACATAGCAACTGGACACACGCTTACCCTGGGGTTAAAACATATAATCTAAGGTTAAAACCAACCCGGAGGTGATTAGCTATTGAGAAATCGGTCCTAACAGTTTGTAAAACCCAAATTTTTCGAGAAAGAAATTGTTAAAAATTATAATAAATTAATGAAACTAAGGGCCGGTTTCTCAATAGCTCCGGGTTGGTTTTAACCCCAGGGTAAACGTGTCAAGTTGTAATATTTATCCTGGAGTTATGCTTAACCCGGGGGTGACTTGCTATTGAGAATCCGGCCCTAATTGGACTATTTTATTTTCTATGGCATGAATAAAATTTATTAAATCTGACTGTTAGGGCCGGTTTCTCGAGTCACCTCCGATATTGGTTTTAACTCCAGGGTAAGCGTGTGAAGTTGCTATCTGTTTACCCTGAAGTTATGCTTTACCCGTGGGGGTGACTCGCTATTGAGAATCCGGCCCATAGGAGCAAACATATTTTATTTGTGAAGTAATGAGACAACTTTTGTGATTACACACTCGTGTAATAATGATGTTCTTACCTCACTTGGCTCAGTTACAAATATCTAGTAGATAATAACTACTGTGACAGTTCAAAAAATCCTTCATCCATGGTATTTTAAGTAAATAAATGTCAATAATTACTCTTATGCAATAGCAGGTCAAACATAATTCACACACGCTTACCCTGGGAGTTCAAACCAACCCGGAGAAGACTCGCTATTGCAAAAGTTCAATTCCTGTTATTGAGTTAAGTCAGGAAAGGAGCCATAATAACTCAGTTTCTGAGCCAAATATTAACGCCCAGTTTGTCAGTTTACAGTTAACTAAAGTGAGTGAAAAAATTTGAAAATTGTCTTAGGTGGGCCCCTAGACAATATAATTTATTTCCAATAATTCTGTCACCAAAGTGAACAAATTCTTCGATCACAAAATGCATAATACACACCAGTACATCGAAGTGAAAGTAAAATTATGCCGTGCTCTTAGAATGAGGTTAATCCATTGAAACCGACTATATTAATTAACAAAGACAACAATCTATATCTCTGGTTGAGCATAGGCGGATTCAATCGTCTTTAACCGCACCTTTTTTTAAAAAAATGTCATATTTATTCATTGTCTTTGACCACGTATAGTTTCTAATCAATCCAAATTACAATAATAAAACTTTCTTAATAAACACCCTAAAGCCAAATAAATTTTAAATTTCAGATCCTGCGGAAAGAACGAAGACTATTCCTTGCCATTTGTATTCTAATAGTCAAGGTCCGAGCGCAAGGAGAAAGAACTTATGACACAAGCGAATGGATTCCTATAACTCCAACCACATTAGAAGCTAGAGGGTCTGAAAATGTAGAGCAAGTAGCCAATGATCGTGTTTTGAGCTTGGACGCTCCTGCACAACAAAAATTCTTCCCCGATAATGAGTTCGACTATAGAAAAAGGCGTCCCAATCAAGTCCAGCAATTTATTTCAGCTCCAAAGAAAGTTTTCGAGCAACCAAGACCCAGAAAACTAAAACATCCTCTGGAGTACAAATTTGAAACTCCACCTCCGCCACCCTCAAAAAATCAACCACAAATCAACTATTATAATGGACAAAATATGTCGCCGTACCAACAGCAGAATTTCTATCAACAACAAAAACGACCAAGTAATCCACAAGCTCAATATAAACGACCTGGAACTGTTCCAAACAACCTTCAAGCTCCATATCAACAACAAGCTCAATATCAATCACCAAAAAGGCCTGATTATTATGCCGAAGTACCAGCACCCAATGCCCTAAATCACTACGAACAATATCAATTACCATTTAATTCTAGTTTTTATCAATCATTAAACCCAACTAATATTAATAACGGTTTTTATCAGGCCATTAACAACAATAGTCAATCAAATGCAGCTGTTGAACAAGAAACTGTTCAATTAGTTTATGTGCCAGTGGAAAATTTACAATCCAATCAACAAAATAATAGGCAACAATATCAACAACAATCTACACCAAATCAAGAATATTCGCAGCAAATATATCAGCAACAAGCTGTAACAACTGCACCTGAAAAACAAGTTTATCAAGCGACACCTTCTTATAACTCATTGGATTTTCCAAGACAAGCACCAATTTTGTCGCAAAACCAAGATTCATCATTCATACTAGATTCGCCTCAGCAAGAAAAACTAATTTCCTTGCCCGATAATAAACAAGCAAAACTAGAACGCATCGAGCAAGATTTCCTTCAGCAAGCGCTCCAAGCATCAAGGCTACAAGAACAGTTCAGAGATGACATTAATCCCATCAAACAAGAGGTCGTCAGCTCAACAGCTAAACCTAAACAAAAACCCCATCAACCGCCATTATCTTTATTTTTAAATTCTGAAAAAAAAGCTGAAATTTCTGATGTCTTAAGCATTTTGAGAGATGCTAAAACAATATCTGTACAAGACACAATCACACATGACTCACCGCAAGTTTTCATTGGGCCTAGTAATTTGGATTCGGCTGAAGGCTACAACAAATTCCCTTTGCCTTATTTAAATAACATTAACGGCAATAGAATTGAAAGAAAAATTGATCAATTGCCCTTCTTTGTTGCTCCGGTCAGTTACAAGACACCTCCAGGATACTCGAAAATTGCTTTACCATCGCCTCACGTTGGTTCTGTGGTAGTATCATTACCCATTAACACCACACCAGAGCCCCAATATAGTCCATTTGGATATCAATCGTCAAGAGCTCCTGCACAAGAAAATATTGATACTTATAGTCTATTCGATACCAGAAGCACAACACAATCTTCACCTGTTAGGAATATATTTGAACAAGCTTACACACCAAATGACTATTATTTACAACAAAGTCCGCAATACTCAACACAAGAAGAACGTCAAAACACTTCTCCCAGAAGTCAACAAATAACAAAATTGCCTGACATAAATCCTCTAGAACTTGCCATAAACGAGTTTGAATTGCATCAAATAAACGATCAAGCTGAAGAACATAACAAAGTCAAACACTCTACCACAAGCAGACCTCAAACCAATTATGAAACTACTCAAAGTGCAAGATCATCACAGACAAGAGGGCGTCATAATTATGATAATGAAGCTACTACTGAAAGGAGTAGAGGTAGAGTTAGAGGTAGAGGTAGAGCAACTAGTAGAACCACTACCACTACAACCCAAGCTCCAATTGAAACTGATAGATACACTGTTTTAGAAGAGTTTGTAGCTAGGAATCCTTCAAGTGATACTTATAGAAATCCTTCAACTGAAAGCTACAGAAGCCCTTCAACTGACAGCTATAGAAGTCCTTCAACTGAAAGTTATAGAAGTCCTTCAACTGAAAATTACAGAATTCCTTCAACTGACAGTTACAGAAGCCCTTCAACTGAGAGTTATAGAAGTTCTTCAGTGGAAGTTGAAACAGAACCATCTAGAAAATCCTCAACGACTCCATTCAGTGGTAATCCATACTTGCCTGACAGTCAAACCCAATCAAATGTTAGACAACTTTACGATGACTTAAGAAATATTCAATTTGAAACGCCAAAAGCACCAACCGATGATGAACAAGAATTAAAAAGGCAACCTCAAACAGAGCAATCTGTCAATAGATATTATCCAGAAAATATTCAAGCTAATGATTATAATTTAGGTCAATTTCAATATGAAAATATTGCACCAAATAATGAAATAAGAACAACAACGGAAAAACCCAAAGTAGATGAAGAAGTAATTCCTACACATCTTCACAGATTTAGCCCAGAAGTTATTAGCTATGAAAATAGAGAGCCCAATCAACAACGTAGACCAGCGCATCAGCAATATGCCTCTGATGATGTTAGAGCCAACTATCAACAACAATATGAAGTTGACGTTAATGAGCCTCAACTGACACAAACTGAATCCTATCAAAGACCACAAGAAACTAGCGAAGAAGATTCTAGAAGAAAACCCTTCCCTGATCCCACATCGTTTATAGACAACCTCAATCGTCCTAACTTTGATGATACCTATATCAGTCTACAAGATCAAGCAGTTAGATCTTTACTGGTACCAAACCTTCTAGCTCCATCAACAAAATCTCAATTTTCCACAGAATCTATTATAGAGCTGCAACCAAGCACAGAAGCAGAAACAACTACAACAACAAAAGCTTCCAGGACAAGAAGTAGAGGTAGAACTAGATTAAGCACCACAGAGTCATCGGTGGCTACCAGTCCTAGAAGGGCTTCCAATAGAAGACGTCCAGTATCTACAACTTCAACTGAAAATTACTCTTCTGGTAGAGATTCAAACGTGAAACAACAAAAGTTTAGAACTCGTGGTAGACCCACACAAAACGAAATAGTCGATAGAGTATCAACAACTGAAAACGAAGTAAAAGCTTTCAAAGAATCATTACCTCAAACTGATTTTGAACCAGTAAAAAGTCGAGAACCGCCACAATCTTATATGCAATTTGAGCATGCTATTGAAGATCAACAAATTATTACCATAAATCCTTTACAAGAGGATATCAAAGAGTATCATCAAGTTTATGAGCTACCACAGCAAAATCAACAAGTTTTGGAATACGACAACACTAGATCACAACCCATTGTAGATGTGCAAGTTTCTCATGTTTTGCCTGAAGATGAACCAAAATTGGACATTATTACTAAAGCACCTGAAGAAGAAGTTTATGTAAGGCCAACAAATGCTAACATAAGATCTGGAGGAGTTCTTAATAATAATAGAGAGGAGCAGGCTACTAGAGCCTCTACAGCTAGACCAAGAGGTCGCACCCGGACTAGATCAAGATTTGCTTCATCTACATCCACAACTACAAGGCCCGTAACTAGAATTTCTCCTAGATACACAACTGGAAAACCTAGAGAAACTACTACGAAAGAAGAGCAAGAGTTTTATGGTTTCACTAGACAACCTGCTTATACACCAGCAAACTTAAACATCCAAGCGGAACCTCAAGTGAAATTTGTCGGTGAAATCAGGCCTAAATATAGTCCACGTACAACGACATCTTCTTCTGCAGAAGCTGAGAGCAGTGCTGAAACTGCAAGACCAAGAATAAGGTCCAGAACTAGAGCTCCAACACGTAAAACTTCAAGCACTTACAGACAGTCCGACAATGACGTTTACAATGGTAGAAGTACCGAACAAGCAACAAGACGTTCAAGTCCTACTACAACAAGAACACGCACGCGTGGATCCTCACATTACCGCGCCCCAGAAAATCAAAAACGAGAAAGTGAAGACGAAGATGTGGCCAATCAAAACTACCCAGTGAACTTTTTGCAAAAATTGGATGCTTCATCTCCAAAAACCATTATTCTGGACGAAGACTTAGATGATCAGTCTCCGTATTCTTCAATTTACAGGCCAAAGTTTGTGCCTAAACCCAACGAGTGGAATAGTTTGCCAACTAATGACAAACCTGATATGGAAGATCCTCAATCGCTTGCCATTGTACAGACAAATAAACCTGATGATGATTGGAATAGTTTTTCAACTGAAGGCGAAAATTCTCAATCGCTGGCCTTTGCACATACAACGCCGCAACTTCCAAATGAGTTCATCACTGAAAGCGAAGTTGATAAGGTGATGAGTGATTTGGAAAAAATTAGAACTTCGCCTACAGAGGATAGTGTTACTACACTGGAACCTACTGAAGCAGTTACAAAGAGTAGACGACGAGGTGTTTGGAAGTTGGTAAAGCATCGTCCATTAGATCAATTGGAAGTTGCTGAATCACAAAACTACGAAACTGTTTTAAATGCTTTTGATTCGATTGCTAAAGTTGATCCCTATTCCAAAAGTACTTCAAATGAATTAGTAAAGAATGTTGATGTTTCTACTGAAAATGTAGAAATTAGTGAATTTACAACATTGCCTCCGTCTACTACAAAAACCCAAGAAAACATTTTCGATACGATTTATGAAATGTTTGGAATGTTTCAGAAGCCTGAAAAAAATGATACAAGTAACTTAAATATTCCTACTACAACCTTTAATCCCACGTTCCCTGAAGAAATAACCGAAATTGCAACCACCACTGAAGAAATTGTTGCTGAAACCAATACAGAAGTTATTAATGAAACAACCACAGGGACTATTAAACCATCTACAATGCCTTATGAAATAGAACCGTGGAAAATGAAGGCGGTAAAGACGTCAACTTCAACAGAAGTTTCACACGAGACAGAAATATGTTATAAAGGGCGCTGTGTGAAATCTAGAGAGAAAAAGAAACTTTAAATTATATTGAGTTTTTTTTTTTTTGTACATAGAGTTTGAATGAGGTGTGATTGGGTCATGAATAGTTTGTGTGATTAATACATTTGTGGTTTTCTAGACTGACAATCTTTGAATTGTTTGTTTTTGATTCCTAATTTTAATGAATGACGACTATATTATTTATGCTATTTAGAATTTTATATTTACTTACTTATTGTAACTAGAGGTTTGTTCAAAAGTGAAATTGTCTCGTTATTTGAACAATATTTCTCAATTATTTATTGTATAAATGAAATAAATATTTGATACAAATATTATTGTGAAGTTTCATTGAAGCATCCACTGCATGATGATCTTTCTATTTTGTCTATCAGACATAGCACAGCATCCAATAAGGATATTCGGTATTCAGTTGCTCCAAAAAAATTACCCAATGAATAAAGGAGCCATAGGTAATCAAAATTTGAACTATTACCGGCTCTTGATTCTCTGGAAAACTTTCCTGGGGGGGTTTATTTGAATTGTGCAATTCAAATTCGTCTGACTAAGTCGCATTTTTTAGCATTGAAATACCGGCAAAAATTACGACTTAGACGTATTTGAATTGCACATTTCAAATAAACCCCCCCTGAAGCCAATCAAGAACTGGTATTATTCAAAATTTGAATTTCTATCAACTCTGGATTCGCTAGGGAATTGTTCTAAGGGCAGTCAAGGCTCAAGAGCCGATAATAATCAAAATTTCTAATAATCATTAGCAGCTTTTAAGTTGATATTAATCAGAATTTCTTCCTCCGCAGCTTCTGATTGGCTCAAGAAAAATTATTCAACGGATCAAGAGCCACAGATAATCAAAATTTGAACTATTACCGGCTCTTGATTCTCTGGAAAACTTTCCTGGAGTCAATCAAGAGCCGGTAATAGTCAAAATTTGAATTTTTATCAACTCTGGATTCGCTATGGGAATTGTTCTAAGGGCAGTCAAGGCTCAAGAGCCGATAATAATTAAAATTTCTAATAATCATTACCAGCTTTTAAGTTGATATTAATCAGAATTTCTTCCTCCGCAGCTTCTGATTGGCTTAAGAAAAATTATTCAACGGATCAAGAGCCACAGATAATCAAAATTTGAACTATTACCGGCTCTTGATTCTCTGGAAAACATTCCTGGGAGCCAATCAAGAACCGGTATTATTCAAAATTTGAATTTCTATCAACTCTAGATTCGCTAGGAAATTGTTCTAAGGGCTGTCAAGGCTCAAGAGCCGATAATAATCAAAATTTCGAATAATCATTAGTAGCTCATCTTAAGTTGAGAGTTTTGCTTAGGGGTATCTTTTTATTCAATTCGAACACAAATTGTGCACTTTTTATTCAATTCGAACACAAATTGTGCAGCCCTTCAAAAGGAGTAAAATCTGTTCTCATATAAAATACCCAAAATAATTATTTTATTATTTCCTAACAATTAACATTACAAAAAATAGTTCTTATTCTGTCTTGCCTACGTAATAAAACAACTCTATCTCTGGTCCTTCCCAATCCTTCAAACTACAATCCTCCCAAACGTATTTCCCTTTAAAGTCAGCCTCGAGGGCCAAAAATAGAGGAGCTTTTGCACCTTCCTCGATGCTTAAAGCTCCAGGTATCCTACTAGTCAATTCACGTGATAAATCTGTCTCAATGTAGCCTGGATGGACGGCATTAACAGAAATATTTCTGTTTGGAATTTCACAGTCCAAAGTGCGTTGTTGTAGGAAAGAAAGGGCGGAAAGAGCTACCTTTGATACAATGTACGATGGCCATAATGGAGACCATTTTTTTTTGGTTGCAACTTCATCAGCAATAGAATCTCTAGAAAATTGTTTTATCAGTGATTGATATTTTATAATAAAATCACTTACGTTACAAATTGGTCCACGAGTTCATTCAATTCTGGTAAAGTAAGATTCTTATCGGTGAATTTGCTTCTCAGCTCAGGTGACTGGATTTTGGACGAGTGTCCAAATGAACTTGTAAGATTCACAACTCGTGCATTTTGCCTTAAAATTGGGAACAGTTGCTCACAAACGTTGAGTGTTCCATAATAATTCACTCTTATGCTTTCTTTTGATTGAATCCCAAAAGGGGTTGGATCATCTGACTAAAAATATTCAAGTATAGGTTATTGATGTGCAATGGAGAGTCATGTTACCTGAAAACCTATAACAGCATTATTAACTAAAACATCCAACCCTCCATATTTTTCCTTTAAATAGTCCTTAAAAGTTTCAACGCTCTCTGGATCGCCTATATCGAGCTGATGGAAATGCGGATTAAAGCCAAGTGATTTCAGTTCTTTTACAGCTTGTTGGCCTCTAGTGATATCTCTGGCAGTTAAGTATACGTTACCATCATATTTTTCACAAAGCCCTTTTACTATGGCATAACCAATGCCCTTATTACTACCAGTAACCTATATAAAGAATATTTCAATTATTTTGTATATCAATTAGGTATCTACTTACCACAGCTACTTTGTGCGACATTATTGGTTTGCTGTAAAATATTGAATTCTAAAACTTTGATGCAATTGGCAATGTTTTTGTTGACCAGATAAAAATGTAATTCAATATAATAAATTAAAATCCCTGAAAAGACACTATTATAAATTATATTTATATACCTACAATCAACCTTGAGGTTATCGAAAGGTTAGGTTAATTCAAGGAGTTTTTAATTAAATCCCTATAACTAACCCAAACAAGCTACAAAAACACGCATTATCTTAGCCACAACATTTATTTAAACATAGTCATAAGAAACAATTTTAGAATGGTTCTTTTAGAGGTTGGTCCCACGCTTGCAATGAGCCATCTTTCCATACAAATTTGCCCTTATAGTCCGCCTCCAAAGCTAGAAATAGAGGCCCTTTGGCTCCTTGCTCCACAGTTAAGACTCCTTGGTGACTCGACATGTCAGTATCAACGTAGCCTATTTGAAAGCATGCTTGAATTCGTATAATTATTATAAAAAATATTCTTACCTGGATGTACAGCATTAACAGCAATATTTCTATTTGGTTTTTCAGCATCAAAGGCTCGTTGTTGGACAAATGTCAGTGCACTTACTCCAACTTTAGAAGCGCCATACGCTGACGTTCCCCAGCCTTCCTCAACATGTTTGCCTTCTTCTGCAAGCCTTTTTACAAAATAATCAATAGCCCAATTTCAATTGCACCAAACTCACTTCACGTATCGTTCCATTAATTGATTCAATGTGGCCAGATCTAAAGTTGGGCTGTTCAATTTGTTGCGTAAATCTTCTTTGGTGATTCTCAGTAAATGTCCAACTACGCTTGAAACGTTTACAACTCTGCCGTTTTGGCGTAAAAGTGGGAATAAGGCTTCACATACTCGTAACGTGCCGAAATAGTTTACGCGGATCGTTTCTTTGGCTTGAATTGCGAATGGTTCAGTTGCGGCAGCCTGAATAATTGATAAAATAGAGCTCATTACGTTCTAAATACTTTGAGTTTCCGTTGCCAGTATAGGGAAAAAGTTACCAAACTTCCTGAAGAATGCGAGTATGTGTGGAAAAGCCTAAATTCTAAAATCAAAAATGATACCTATCAACTTTCAACAAGAACATAATATGTAAAGATTTGGCGGACCTAGAAGCCATACGATTCACTTCAACATCCAAAGGGCTAGATGCATAAAAGATTGAATATCTGAAAGATATAACAAAAAGATTGATACCTACTGATAGAGAAACCATTGAATCTTCTTATATGTAAGATCATCCATCAAATGATGAAAGAATAGAAGACCATGGAAGCTGTGACAATGCATGGGATTTAGAGGATTTGCCACAAAAATCATTTGAAGAAATTACAAAAAGGCACTCAATGAGAAATAGAAAATGCTCTGAGAAAAATCAAATCAATGCAAAAGTGTTGAAACATGATGCATCCTCTGCATGTTAAAAGGAAGACGAAGAAGTTGAAGAAAGTGATAGTTACCTCATAATGTCTAGTGACTTTCAATAGTATATTTTCGAAGAAACAGGGGTCAAAGGATGAGCTGAATGAAATCTTAGATAAAGCTATAGAAGGCAGTCAAATTTTAATACAATGAATAAAAACTATAGGTCTGGATACTGCAAATTCCTCAAAAATGTGTATGCCTTTACTCACCTTAAAAGCAATTGCGGCATTGTTAATCAATACATCAATTCCTCCGTGTTTGCTTTTCAAGTAATCCCTGAAAGTGTTGACACTATCTTGATCGGTAATGTCCAGTTGATGATACAGAGGATTCAAATTTAATTTTTTCAAAGACTCCACAGCTGCTTGGCCTCTTCCTGGGTCTCTGGATGTGAGATAGACATCGCCATCGTACTTTTCACACAGGCCTTTTACTATTGCCAGGCCTATACCTTTGTTACTGCCTGTTACCTAAGATTTATACAGTTATAGCTAAAGTTATGAACATACAAAATTTCCTACTTACAACAGCAACTTTTCTTGTCGATGCCATCACTTTCACGAAACTAATAACAAGTCACCTTTAATGTATTTCAAATAGAAAACATTAACTTTTATCTGTGGTAACAGAGTAGTCAGGTAAATATTTAGCTTATAAACAAAAATATTCCAACTATACCTAATAATAACACGTTTTGGTGTTGTTAATTAAATATAATCTACTAACCAGTGTGGGGTTTACAATTTTTTTTTAATAAATAGAAGCTTATTTGGTTCCAGTTGAGCTCACAAGAAAAAGACTCCGGCACTGATCTTATCAAATAAATTAAAACCTCAAGGCTTCATTTATTATGAATTGTTGTTCTTGTTTGTATTATAGATAATTTCAAGATAGGTAATCAATATTGCGGTGCTACTTATCACTATTTGGATAAGAGTAAACGTGGTCAGAGTGGTTTACGTTAATATTTTATTTAAAAAAAAAAATAAGTAGGTAGGTATTTTCACATTTTGTTAAAAAAGTATTAGCGAAAGCTTTTAGTAGTATGACGGAAGTGGTTCTTCCCAATCCAAGACCCTGGAGTCTTTCCAGACGTATTTGCCTTTGAAATCAGCTTCCAGAGCCAAAAATAATGGGGCTCTTGCTCCTTCTTCGATGGTCAATGGACCCTTGTGGCTTGTCATATCAGTATCGACGTATCCTACAAATAAGATTTTTTTTCTTAAGCCTTCTAAACAAAAGTCTTTTTTAGCTCGGAAGTTGAGCTTTTAACACCATTGTTCACTTAATAACAAAGTATATGAAAAGAAGCATTATTTTGAGCTCAATTTTTTTCTTGATAGGTACTTAACAGTTTTAGATAAGTCACAATTTGAAGTTTCTTATTAGGTGAACTCTATTCTTGGCTGTGAGATTTTAACTTTACTCCCTAATTTCTTCTACTACTGAGAACAGAACCGGAAACCATAACAACATTCTCAACATCTAATAAAAAAAAGGCAGTAAAGATAGCAGATTAGGCATCACTATTGAGTCATTAACAGCTTCTAGTAAAAGATATTCAGCGTTTACAAACTTCAACAGAGATACTAGACACTGTGTGTAGATCAAGTTCAAGGCTTGTCAGGGCTGCCGCTAGATGTATGTGAGCTTTGAAATGGAATACAATTTTTAGACTTTAAACTATGATTCGTGGTCCGTGGTAAAGATGAAGGAGTCTTTCTCCGCCTCTCTACGTTATATCTTTCTTCTCTCTTGTGTAACGAAATTTGTCAAAACGTGAAGCGTCTTTCAGATCACTCTCCATTCTCGTTCAAATATCAGACCGCCACCTAAGAAGTTTCACTTCAAATAATCGAGTTTTCATATGAATTTTAATTTCAAAATTTCCAAACCTCGATTGCTTGGGCAAATTGCATTGAAATTTGCAGCATTTGTAGCTCTCATTAAGTTTTAAATGACCTGTCTCTTACAATATTCCCAGATTTATAGTTTTTAAACTAATTGAGTTTGAAGTTTTTGACAAAACTTGAACTGAAAATCAAATTTGGAGCTCTATTGCTCTGAAACTATTTGAGCTATCAAACTCAATTTTGGACGAATTTATAGAGAATTTAATACTCTTTCCAATGGTATATAATTAATTTATTTCAATTTGGTTGAAATTCAACAAAAATATGGCAATTGTTCATGACCATGTCAAGATTTTGAAAATTTTCCAGAGGCAAAAATAGGATTTCCTTTTTTAAATTGTTACTGCTTGAAATGGCCATTTGGAATTAATTTCAGGGTTGTTTTCCACTACTTTTAACCCGTTTTATCGATTGGTAAAGTCAAAATTGGGCAAAACTGAAAAATAAGAAAATCGAGTTTTTTCATAAGGGTATACCTACCCCCTTTGAGTTCTAATTTCAAAATATTCAAACCTCAATTGCTCGGTAATCGTTGGGCGAATTGCATTAAAATTTTTAGCATTTGTAGCTCTTATTGAGTTATTAATGGCCTGTAATTTACAATATTCCCAAATTTATAGTTTTTGAGCAAATTGAGTTTGAAGTTTTTGACAAAATTTGGACTAAAAGTTAACTTTGAGATTCAATTGCCCAAAAACCTTTTGAGCTATCAAACTCAATTTTGAACGGATTAATAGAGAATTTAATGCTCTTTCCAATGGTATATAATTTATTTTAATTTGCTCGAAATTTAACAAAAATATGGCAATTGCTCATGACCATGTCAAGATTTTGAAAATTTCCCAAAAATAGGATTTTATTTTTATTTTTATTTCTGCATAACGGTCATTTGGAAATGATGTCAGGGTTGTTTTCCACTATTTTGGATCCGCTCTATCGAATAATGGAGTTAAAATTGAGCAAAACTGAAAAATAAAAAAATCTAGTTTTTCATAAGGGTGATACCCCATTTGAGCTCTAATTTTGAAAATATTCAAACCTAAACGGTTGAGCAAATTGCATTGAAATTTTTAGCATTTGCAGCTCTTAATAAGCTCTAATAAATGGCCTCTGTAATTCACATCATTCCCAGATTTATAGTTTTTGAGCAAATTGAGTTTGAAGTTTTCGACAAAATTTGGACTAAAAGTCAACTTTGATGCTCAATTGCTCAAAAAATATTTGAGCTATTGAGTTTGATAGCTTGGCACGTAATTATAGAGAATTTAATGCCCTTTCCAACGGTAAATAATTTACCCCTTTCAATCGGCTGCCTATGTGTTTTGAACACATCGCACACATGTTAGCGGCGGCCCTGAGGCTTGTAAACCTACATAAAATAAAGTTGAAAGACTGAAAACACAATTAATAAGAGTTTCCAAAGAATCCCTTTCCCAAACTAATCTTGGAATCAATAAAAAGTCATGAGCCTCCATAATTTTGAATGCAATTTGAGCAAGAACAACAGAAAATCATCACGCAAGGCCAATAAATGTGAAAATAATAAAAACCACTGAGCTTCTATACAGTCAGACCAACATGGGTTTTACCCAGGATTAGATCAAACTTTGATTCTTGACATCTACATCTCTCTAGTGGAATTTTTGCAAAAATTAGATCAATGATACAGATGATCACTTTCCATAATCTTCAATTTGTAGGTCAAACACACAACTCTAGTGGAATATTAATAACAAATCTAAAATAGGTTTCCAGGAAAGACTTTTAATAACGAAACTTATCAATGAGTTCACTGTTAGTGGACTCTGAACCAGTTACAAAGAGGTGTTTGGAAATTGAGACCTAAAGCTGAAAATAGTAGTAGGTACCAATAGTGACATTTTTAAGCTGAAAAAGTTACATATACTGAAAAATCTTCACCTGGATGCACTGAATTAACAGCAATATTCCTAGTAGGAGTTTCAGCATCAAAAACCCTTTGCTGAACAAAACTCAAAGCACTGACTCCTACTTTGGATACAACATAAGCTGACGTACCCCATCCATCCTCCATATTCCTATTCTCTTCAGCAGACCTTAAAAAAGTTAAAAATTCAAAAACACCTAAACTAAAATCCAACAAACCCTTTACTTAACAAATGCCTCCATTAATTGGTTCAAAGCAGGTACATCCAAGTTTTTACTTTTTAATTTGGCCCTCAAGTCAGCTGAAGGAATCTGAGTTAAATGACCGCAGGAGCTTGAAACATTAACAACTCGGCCGTTTTGGCGTAGCAGTGGAAATAAAGCTTCACAGATTCTTAGTGTAGCAAAGTAGTTCACTCGGATGGTTTCTTTTGCTTGTAATGCAAATGGTTCCTTAGCATTGTTCTGAAACAATTTAAATTATTCAGTTACAGGATGTTTCTAATAGCTGGTTGTTGTGATTAGTATATATACATTTGAAGAACTGTAACTTATTGAAGGTTTAGGAAATGTTTCATGTTGAGGAAACAGAAAAGAATAGCTAACTGCTATACAAGGGGAGAATTTGGAAAATGAGACAGCATGCATATGAAAGTTTGGCTGGAGGAACTTAAAAGAATTTGTGTAAATTTATTCTTTAACAACTTCCATAACCTTTGGACCAAGGCAAATTGAGCATATGAGTCTGGGAAGCAATATGACAGTATTTCTCAATCTAGATGAGTGTAAATTTTTTATTATTCTGATTTTGTCTTATCTGTACCATTTATAAATGTCTGCTTATCTATTGTTCCAGAAACAAGGAAAGGTAGGTACAGCATCAATGCTTAATTACTCTCATAATATCATAAAGGAGATTCAATGGGGGGTTATTGCTGCCCAGATAGAAATAACCACTGTGGACTAAATTGATCATGATTGAAGATTAATAAAGCAAAAAGCACTTTAGTGCCAGTGAATTGGACTGCTTCTGAAGAAACTAGGGATAGTGAGGATCAAGGTTCAACCGAGATGCTCTGATGAATGTCCAGCCAAATCTTGGAACAATGAAAATTATTTTAAAGGGAGAGCAGAAGAACAGATTGAAGACATTAGACTAGAAATCCCTTCAATGTTCCATCTGAACTTTGTTGTAAAACTTTCCTCTGATCCATTATGAGGACAACTAATAGAGATCTACAAGCTACATATCTACAGAATGCTTTCATAATTGTAGCAAACCTAATTATTTATACCTTGAAAGCAATAGCAGCATTGTTCACCAATACATCCAGGCCTCCTTGTTTACTCTTCAAGTAATCTTTAAAAGCATTCACACTTTCTTGGTCAGTGATATCTAGTTGGTGGAACAGAGGATTAAACCCCAATTTTTTAAGAGCTTCAACTGCAGCTTGGCCTCTTCCTACGTCTCTAGCTGTAAGATAGACATCACCGTCGTACTTTTGACAAAGCCCTTTCACGATTGCGAATCCGATGCCTTTATTGCTTCCAGTTACCTGTTAATGCAATAATTGTGATGAAACCAGTAATTGTATAAGCATTTGTAACTTACTACAGCCACTTTTCTCATTGAGGACATATTTAAAAAAAATTTCGTTTTGCTACAAAATATTTACTACCAGACAGCTGTTATAGTGAGGTTTTGGGTGGTTTTTCATTCATTATTTCTCATTCATACTATTGTAGAGGATAAGTGTAAATAAAGAAATCTTTCTTCATTCATATAGTGATGTCTCCTAGAAAAATAGCTATTGTAAGGCAATGTACCATTATAATGTATCTCTATCTCTATATTTACAAATCTATTTTCAGGTCACAGGAGGCAATAAAGGCATAGGCTTTGCCATAGTCAAAGGCCTATGTGAAAAATTTGCCGGAGATGTTTACTTAACTGCCCGAAACATTACCAGAGGCCAAGAAGCTGTAGCTAAACTAAAAACTTTAGGATTCAACCCTTTATTCCACCAATTAGACATTACAAATGAGGAAAGTGTTTCAGCTTTCAGAGATTACATTAAAACAAATAATATCTTGATTGATGTTTTGGTGAATAATGCTGGTGTTTTTGCAAGTGTGAGTCAATAAGTTTTGGTATTAGTCTAAGATTAAAATTAAATTTATAGCCCACACTGTCAATGGGCGAACAAGCAGAAATTAATGTAATGGTAAATTATTTTGGAACTTTGAAAGTATGCCAAGGCTTATTTCCTTTTCTACGAGAAAATGCTCGAGTTGTTAATATTTCAAGTTCCTCAGGGCGGTTGTTAAGAATTCCTGGCACTGATATCCAAGCTAAATTTAAAGACCCCAATTTAAGTATTGAGGGCTTAAACAAGTTAATGAAGCAATACATACAGTAAGAGATTATTGTTTTATTTTCAAAGTATAATTCAAATTGTTTATAGAGATGCAAAAGACAACACATATCAATCTAAAGGCTGGGGTGAAAATGCTTATGTAGTTTCAAAAGTAGGCTTAACAGCACTAAGCAATATTCAACAAAAGGAATTTGACCAGAAACCGCATCTTAATATTTCAGTAAATGCTGTTCATCCTGGTTATGTGGATACAGACATGACAAGCCACAAAGGCCATTTAACTATTGAAGAAGGAGCTAAAGCCCCTTTATTTCTAGCTCTTAATGCCAAACTCAAAGGCAAATATGTTTGGTTTGATTGTCGTGTAGTAGATTGGGATGGACCTGCACCACAATAATAATTGTAAATAAAACTTCTATCAATTTTTATTTAATTTGAAAATTTAATCAATAAACAACAATCCAAAAAAATGTATTCAGACTTGTTAACAATTATTGCTATATTAATATTGCTAGCACACACTATTTACATTATCCTAGGTTTTTTACAGGCACTTTCTGTACTGGTAACTATTTCAGGGGCAATATTTTTCAACAAACTCTGCTTACTGTAGCTCCCAAATAGTGTTGTAAGCAAAGATACCCCATAACCAGTAGCTCGTTCACCCTATAAATAAAAAATATATAGTAAATCATACAAGCAAAAAATTATCACTATACATACAACATGAACAGGATAAGCCATATCCACGTGAATCCAAGTACCAGAAAAATCAAAGCCCAAATGCGCTGCTATAAATAGCCCCGCACAACTAGCTTGAGCATTGTTTCTGTCTGCCACCGAATTCTTCATATCTGCCAGAGCGGAAGCGAACTCGGAGAAATGTAGTTCTGGACAAAACGGAATGGGAAACACTAAATCTCCAGAGGATAGGCCGGCTTTTTGCACTGTAGATTCCCATGCGCCGTTGTTAGTTAAGACTGCTCCATGGTATTTACCAAGAGCTATACCCTACAAAGTGATTATTAATTTATTGAAGTTACAATCGTCCTAAAACTTTATATGGGGGTTTATAAAATGTTGAAATTTTCAGTGGAGAAAATATGCATACAATACAATATTGGAATAATTGTATTTCTGTTGCAAGTAACTACTCAAGATTTTAAATAAATGAATCATCAAAGTGTATTCTTACTTGTGCTCCAGTTAAAGTGGCCATATCCAAAATAATATCAGCCTTAAGATCCTTTTTAGCATACGCAACACCATCAGCTAACACCAACCGGCCTTCAGCATCAGTGTTATTAATTTCCACTGTACGCCCCGAATACAAAGTGTGAATATCATCTGGCCTAGTCGCGTTCGGTCCCACCGCATTTTCCGCCAAACAAAAAACAGCGTGCAAGTTTTCAGTAAAACCATTTTTAACAGCAGCATAGAAGGCACCTAAAATTCCTGCAGCCCCGCCACAGTCTCGCTTCATTCCAGGCATTGCGGTTTTGCCTTTAAGACTTAGACCGCCTGTGTCGTAAACTATGCCTTTTCCTACCCAAGCGATGGTTTGGGTGGCATCTTCAGGAGTGTGGCTCAGCACTGCTAAGGCTGGAGGCACTTGGGCGGCCTTGCCCACGCCGTAAATGCCACCAAAGCCTTTCTTCTCCAACTCCTGGTCTCTGATGATTTTTGGCTCGATGTTTAAAGCAGATCCGATGGCTTTGACTTCCATTAAAAAGTCATCAACATTCATTTCATTGCAAGGCGTGTCTACAATTCGGGCAGCTAATCTTATTCCTGTGACTGCATTTTCTAGGCATTGCAGCTCAGGTTCAGTGAGCTGCCCGTTGGCTTCTGGTGCTGACACTCCATTGCTCAGGACTATTAGAAATTCTAGAGAAACTGTTGGTTTGTCAGCATCATTCGATTCAGTCGACTTTTTGGAGTAGAGAGGAAAAGCTCTCGCGACTGCACTGGCACTTGCATATACATCAGATTTTTCACAGATAATCTAGAATAAACAATATTTTGCTAGAATCATGACTCAAATTTCATTAGATTTACAGCTAATAGTTTGAGTTGAATATATAAATTTAAAGCTTTATTCCTTACCACAATACTTTCAACTGAATCTCCATAAACAGAACTCTGAACAATTTTAGTAATGGCGTGCGCTCTCGAAGGTGTATTATGCCTGCTACATTTCAAAGGCAAAGCCGCAACGGTGGCAAGATTGAGCCACAAAGATCGGGTATCAGTGGGCGAGGGGTGCAAACTTGCAACTGCTAATTTGAATGTTTCTTCGCTGACTCTGGGTTCCAGTTTGGGTCTGATATCGTTGAAACGTAGCTGAGAGAGGTGCTTCGTTTGCCCTATTATCAGTACAGGGGTTGTTTGCGGGTCTGATTTGGTTAGGCCCGATTTCAGGACCAAATTGGTCATCTTGGCGATCTAGAAATGGGGTTTTTATTATCTTTTTTTGGCCTATTTTTAAGGTTTTTCATCATTTGAATAATAAAAGACACTTATAGACCTTGTACCTAATATTGAATGATTTTATTTTAGAATAAGCAACATCTTCTCAACTGGAATTTGGTGATCATTATTGAAATACAAAGTTGGGAAAACTAAGAAAAATCTATAGGGATAATTTTTGTAAAAAAATTCTATTGACAAAATCCTTGGGATGCGGGATGTCTATAAAGAAAATAGAAATACCAAAATGTTTTACAATAATAAGAAAATTCGGTTTTCAATAAAAAAATCAAATCCAGTTAAATTTTCCACAAACAAAATCAACTTGAGGGCTCATTCATAACTGGATAGCTTGAGTACACCCTGCAGGAGAAATCCAAAACTCTTTAGAGAAATATTTTTTTGTTTTGGAGAGATTCAGGAAAATCTGAGATCTATAGTAGAAGTGAGGGATATCTGGGGAAATCTGAGGGAAGGGAGAATACTCAAAAGGATATCATGTTGCCAAGAAAAAAGGAAGTGGCACCGAAAATGTTGGAGAATATATTCACCTCTTTACTGGAGTGTCAAAGAAAATCAGAGCAGCTAGAGGAGTATCCATACTGATAAGGAGAAACTGAAAAAACAAAATCACCAACTGAGAACTGTAGGTGAAAATATCTTAACAGTCAACTTGAAACTAAGTACATGGCTATAACATTACCACAAGAGGTAAACCATCATCCCAGAATTGGTGCAAACAATTCCTCAAAGAGGAATTTTTCACGCATAATTCCTCAAAATTCCTGCAAATTCCTTCAAATAGCCCATCACAAATTCCTCCAAATACCCCACCACGAACTTCTCCAAATACCACACAAATTCCTCTAAAAAAAGGGAGAATTTTGAAACTTTCTGCATATAAAGAGAAAGGTGAGAAGATCATTTTCCCAAAATTTCAAATTTTTCCAGTAGAAAACAGCAACGTGAAAAATCTTGGAAATCAACCTACAAAAACTGAATTAGTTGAAAATACAGTTTCACATAATAGTTCAAAGTTTTCCTAGAAATCTAGTGAAGGCAAAATTTGGAAACTTTTTGCATGTAAAAAGGAAGGTGAAAAGCTCATTTTCCCAAAATTTTCCAATGGAAAACAGCAACATGAAAAATCTTGGAAATCAAGCTACAAACACTGAATTAGGTGAAAATACAGTTTCACATAATAGTTCAAAGTTTTCCTGGAAAACTAGTGAAGGGAAAATTTTGAAACTTTTGGCATGTAAAGAGGAAGGTGAGAAGCTCATTTTTCCAAAGTTTCAAATTTTTTCAGTGGAAAATAACAACATGAGGAATATTGGAAATCAACCTACAATAACTGAATTAATTTAAAACACAGTCTCACACATTCCAAAGTTTTCCTGGAAAACTACTGAAGGGAAAATTTTGAAACTTTATGCATGTAGAGAGGAAGGTGAGTTTCCCAAAATTTCAAAATTTCCAGTGGAAAACAGCAACATGAAAAATCTTGGAAATCAACCTACACAAACTGAATTAGTTGAAAATACAGTCGCACACATTTCAAAGTTTTCCTGGGAAACTAGTGAAGGGAGAAATTTGAAACTTTTTGCATGTAAAGAGGAAGGTGAGAAGCTCATTTTTCTAACATTTCAAATTTTTCGAGTAGAAAATTACAACATGAGGAATCTTGGAAATTAACCTACAATAACTGAATTAATTGAAAATACAGTGTCGCATATTTCAAGGTTTTCCCGGAAAACTAGTATGTACAGGAAAAATTTTGAAACTTTTTGCATGTAAAGAAGAAGGTGAAAAGCTCATTTTCCCAAAATTTCAAATTTTTCTAGTGGAAAATAACAACATGAGGAATCTTGGAAATCAACCTAAAATAACTGAATTAATTTAAAACACAGTCTCACACATTCCAAAGTTTTCTTGGAAAACTACTGAAAGGAAAATTTTGAAACTTTATGCATGTAAAGAGGAAGGTGAGAAGCTCATTTTCCCAAAATTTCAAATTTTTCTAGTGTAAAACAGCAACATGAAAAATCGTAGAAATCGACCTATAAAAACTGAATTAGTTGAAAATACAGTCTCACACATTTCAAAGTTTTCCTGGAAAACTAGTGAAGGGAGAAATTTGAAACTTTTTGCATGTAAAGAGGAAGGTGAGAAGCTCATTTTTCTGACATTTCAAATTTTTCGAGTAGAAAATTACAACATGAGGAATCTTGGAAATTAACCTACAATAACTGAATTAATTGAAAATACAGTGTCGCATATTTCAAGGTTTTCCCGGAAAACTAGTATGTACAGGAAAAATTTTGAAACTTTTTGCATGTAAAGAAGAAGGTGAAAAGCTCATTTTCCCAAAATTTCAAATTTTTCTAGTGGAAAATAACAACATGAGGAATATTGGAAATCAACCTACAATAACTGAATTAATTTAAAACACAGTCTCACACATTCCAAAGTTTTCCTGGAAAACTACTGAAAGGAAAATTTTGCAACTTCATGCATGTAAAGAGGAAGGTGAGAAGCTCATTTTCCCAAAATTTCAAATTTTTCCAGTGTAAAACAGCAACATGAAAAATCGTAGAAATTTATAAAAACTGAATTAGTTGAAAATACAGTCTCACTCATTTCAAAGTTTTCCTGGAAAACTAGTGAAGGGAGAAATTTGAAACTTTTTGCATGTAAAGAGGAATGTGAAAAGCTGATTTTCCCAAAATTTCAAATTTTTCCATTGGAAAACAACAACATGAAAAATATTGGAAATCAACCTACAAAAACTGAATTAGTTGAAAATACAGTCTCATATATTTCAAAGTTTTCCTGGAAAACTAGTAAAGAAAAGTTTTGAAACTTTTTGCATGTGAAGAGGAAGGTGAGAAGCTCATTTTCCTAAAGTTTCAAATTTTTCCAGTAGAAAATTATAACATGAGGAATCTTGGAAATCAACCTACAATAACTGAATTAATTGAAAATACAGTCTCACATAGGTATTTCAAAGTTTTCCTGGAAAACTACTGAAGGGAAAATTTTGAAACTTTATGCATGTAAAGAGGAAGGTGAGAAGCTCATTTTCCTAAAATTTCAAAATTTTCAAGTGGAAAACACTCGCGAAAACAGCAACATGAAAAATCTTAGAAACTTTTTACCTCGCTTTTTACATATAAAGAGGAAGGTGAGAAGCTCATTTTCCTAAAATTTCAAATTTTTCCAGTGGAAAATAAGAACCTGAGGAATATTGGAAATTAACCTGCAACAACTGAATTAATTGAAAATACAGTATCACATAGTTATTTCAAAGTTTTCCTGGAAAATTAGTGAAGGGAAAATTTTGAAATTCTTTGCATGTAAAGAGAAAGGTGAAAAGCTCATTATCCCAAAATTTCAAATTTTTCCAGTGGAAAACAACAACATGAAAAATGTTGGAAATTAACCTACAAAAACTGAATTAGTTGAAAATACAGTCCCACACATTTCAAAGATTTCCTGGAAAACTAGTGAAGGGAGAAATTTGAAACTTTTTGCATGTAAAGATGAAGGTGGGAAGCTCATTTTACTAAAATTTCAAATTTTCCGAGTAGAAAATTACAACATGAAGAATCTTGGAAATCAACCTACAATAACTGAATTAATTGAAAATACAGTGTCACATATTTCAAAGTTTTCCTAGAAAACTTGTGAAAGAAAAATTTTGAAACTTTTTGCATGTAAAGAAGAAGGTGAGAAGCTCATTTTCCCAAAATTTCAAATTTTTTCAGTGGAAAATAACAACATGAGGAATATTGGAAATCAACCTACAAAAACTGAATTAGTTGAAAATACAGTCTCACACAAATGTGTGAGACACTTGAAATCAAAGTTTTCCTGGAAAACTAGTGAAGGGAAAATTTTGAAACTTTTCGCATGTAAAGAGGAACCTGAGAAGCTCATTTTCCCAAAATTTCAAATTTTTCCAGTGGAAAATAACAACATGAAGAATATTGGAAATCAACCTACAATAACTGAATTAATTGACAATACAGTGTTACATATTTTGAAGTTTTCCTGGAAAACTACTGAAGGGAAATTTTGAAATTTTTTGCAAGGTGAGAAGTTCATTTTCCCAAAATTTCAAAATTTCCCAGTGGAAAACAGCAACATGAAAAATCTTGGAAATCAATCTACACAAACTGAATTAGTTGAAAATACAGTCTCACACATTTCAAAGTTTTTCTAGAAAACTAGTGAAGGGAAAATTTTGAAACTTTTTGCCTCGCTTTTTGCATATAAAGAGGAAAGTGAGAAGCTCACTAGATTTTTTTTTTAAATTTCCATTTATTACTATTTCTTATACCTAATAAGAATGTGAATCTCAGTGACGTCATGACCCTACAATTTCCTTTAAATTCATCATAAATTCCTCACAAATTCTCCCAAATTCCCCATAAATTCCTACAAACTCCCTATAAATTCCCCAAATTCAAATAAATTCCGATGAGTTCCTTCAAATTCCTCTAAATTTCCCACAAATTCCTCTAAATTCCCCAAGTCTTTGACAAAGAATTCCTAGGTGGTTTGCCCCTTGCACCACCATTATAGCAGCCTACTCTCCAGCAGAGGACTAAAGAGTCGGCATTAATCAGGAGTTCTTTGATAAATTGGATGAAATCCTAGTAGATATTAGAAGAAATAGAGAAATCATAATGATAGGGGATTTCAATGGAAGAACGAGAAGGACGAACAATAACTCAGTTGTAGGAAAATTTGGAGAAGAAATAATCAATGATAATGGCCAAAGGCTCATACATCTCTGTGAGAACCACAATTTTAGAATAAACAATGGGTTTTTCAAATACAAAGATATTCACCGTTACACATGGATACAGAATAACCGTAACCTGAAAACTATTATTGACTATGTGATAAGCAAACAAGAAACAAACTTTTTGTACAGAATGAAATATTAATGCTGCCCTGCATTTTTATTCTTGAGTCAGTTACTCTGATTTATAGAGAGTTTTCTGGTTTTGTACAAGACAGGAACTACAGTATAAGGCAAAACTATAACCCACCACTGCCCAATACCAAAGCATGAATTATGGGATAAGAAATGTGAAAAAATTAACATTTACATAGGAGGAAGGAAATGCTCAGGGGTATGAAGATTTAGGTATATCAAATGTCAAAAACCCAGGAAATGACGGAACTCATATCCAGATTATTAAACCAGAGCAATGGATAGAACACTACAAGGGTCTATTACAAGAAAGTAGACCAGAATATATTATATTAGATTCTCCAAGACATATTGAAGTACATGGAGAAGTAGTTGAGATATTTGAAGAAACAGAAGATCAGAGGAGGAAGATCAGGTACAGACAATGTATTTTGCCTAAAACAAGTCAAAGCAAAGAGATCTGCTAGACATTTGGAAACCCACCTCACATTTATGGACGAGTTTATGGACCTACAAAAAGCATATGATACAGTCCCAGCATCCAGACCTCGATCCAGACTATGGAAGGTATTAGAACAATCTAACATCAATCACACCTATATAACAGCACTAAAGAACTATATAAAGACTAAAAATCAAGAATTAAGATAGGTAAAAAACTCTCAGACACATTTATAGTGAATAAAGGACTACATCAAGGATGTTGTATCTCTCATACGCTTTTTAAAATATATGTAGCAGTAGCACTGAAAAATTGGAATGGAATGGGTGTAGAGATAGATGAGGTGCCTGTTCACTCTTCAGTTTGCAGATGATCAGGTCATAGTGGCCTGTGATAAAGAGGACATGCAATATATGATTAGAAAGCTGATAGAAGAATACCAAGAATGGGGTCTGAGAGTTAATATAAATGAAACAAAATATCTATGTGTAGGCACCCAGAACAAAAACGTGGAAGTGAACGATGGTCAGAGTCAGGAAATTCTGCAATGTCAAGAATTGAGTATCTATATTATTTCCAAATCCAAGCGGCAGGGAATAACATTGCCAGGAAAGAATAGATCAAGGGAAAATGGATATGTTGTGTTAAGAAGAAGATTTCAGGAGTTCTGTTCTGGTTGTGCACTTATGCTGGTGTTCTATAAAATCCCTGAAAAAATAGGGAGATCTAGCAAAATCCTAAGAAATAAGGAAATCTGAAGAAATCTAAGAGGGATCCCAGGTAATCTTGTTATATTTAAGGGAATCTGTACTTAAATATCTTTTGCGTAAAGATAATCTCTTGACTCTTGTACACCTAAGTTCCAAATTATGGACTGACTGATAAGTGCCAGATTGTTACCTAGCAGGTACTTTCTATTCTCTAGAGCATGGAAAGTACCTGGTAGGTAATAATCTGACACTTATCAGTCGGTCCATAATTTGGCCCTAAATATGAATAAACGTATCTGTTAATACATATTATTATTCAAAATATATAATTAGGTAATGCATAAGTACTTATATTTTCCAATAAATAAGTAATAAGTAAGGTATAAAATTACAATTGGAGTATAAATGATTCATCAACATTTCATAACAGTGCATGCTTTTTGCTTTTATTTTCTGAAAAAACTATTTTATACCTAGTTGAAAAAAGTTGATATACTTACTTTATTATAATATATACTTTTTTTACACTTGTACCAGTTTTACTCCAGTATAAAATTGAAGATATAAGATAAATTTCTAGTGGATGATAATTATAATAATCAACTAAATCAACATTCTAGGTCTAGGGACTCTCTAGAACAAAGATAAGATAAACAAAAATTAAAAATTAAAACTCATCTCTCCAAGGTTAAGGTTGTTGACAAGAGACAAGCGAGAGAGTTCAATGAGCAAGAGTGAGAAGGCAACTAATGCGTGTCGCGTGAAGTATGCAAAAAGAAAATTATTTCTGTTTTTGACAAAAAAAAAAGAAGAGATCTCAGTATCAAAATGTCAAAATATGTTATTTAAAAATTAAAATCCATTTATATTTATTTAAATTTTGAAAACATTTTGTAGTTAATATACTAGATAATTAATTATTGTTGAATGTTGATGAGCTGAAAGGGCCCCACCTAAAATTACAAATCAAAGTAAATAGTTCCAAAGTACCTATACGAACATTTTATAGTTCTCCAGCAAGTAGGTACTTGATGAATTAAAATGAGTGCAAAGAAGTTTGAAGACTTGTTAGAGCCTCGCAGGCGAGAGTTAAGCAATTATTTCTACATAAATCGCGCCCTAAATCCACAAGTAGCTGTTCAAATAAGTCCCAGGCCTTCGCCCCAATCCCATCAAGAGGCTGTGCTGAATAGTAAGAAGATATCTGAACTTGTTACAGAGGTATTAATATCTTTTGTGTAGAAAAAGTTCTTCTGTTAATTTGCCCATTTTTATATTTCAGATAAGCCAAAAGCAGAATGTTAAAAGAGAGGAAATTGTAAAACAATTGAGACTGATTCTAGAAGAAATTGGATACAAAAAGAATCTTCAAGTTATTAGATATTTGGGTTACTTGTTAACCAAGATATTTTTAAAAGTTTCTACAGGAGTTTATGTGAATCATCAAGGGATAAGTCAAGTGAGTAATCTAGTAATTGGAGTAGGTATAATAAGGTCTTTTCTCACAGAAATCACAAATTAATCGGAGCGTTTTTGATTTGTGCAAATCGCCAATATCCAGTTTTTTGACTATTTTCAACTAATGAAATTCACTGTGACTGGTTTGTGAGAAAAGACCTCTAGAGATATCTGTAAAGGGTGGGCCAGTTGGTAATCAAATTACCCAACTGTTTGTTAATTTAACCAACATTGTATTTCTAACCGTTCTCCATATTTTAATGCTATCCTGAAGGGTGTCTCACAATTTCCTGACTAATTTATGAAGCTTCCTGAATAATTTTCTGAATTCCCTAAGTAAATAATTACATTAATTACTAGTTTCCTATGAAATTTCTGACATTTCTCAAACAAAAATTGATAATTTTCAAAATTTCTGAGAGATTTTTAACTAATTTCTCCCCAAAATTTCCGAACATCTCTACAATATTCACTGTAGTTTTCTAGAAATGATAATTTTTTTTGCTTTGCTGAAAAATGTAAGTTCATGGTGGTGACAAAACGTCACCGTAGGATTATAATGGTCTATATCCATTTTTTGGGGAAAAAGAGTTAATTGCACAATTTTTTTCAGGAAAATTAGCTTGGTCTATATCCATTGAAAACACATATTAAACATTTCAAATAAAAAAATAAATAGTAATATTTTGTTATATATCCCTTCAAAATTTTAAAATGCCAAAAATTATTTTGTGCCATATCCCAAACTTCTTATTTGTGCTATATCCTCTAAGTCTATTGAAGCTATCCTAAAAATTATTGTGTTCTATATCCTATCATCTAGGATATAGAATAAAATGGTGCTTATAGACTTTGCCCTTAAATGAAATTATATTGTTCTATATCCATTGGCATTCCCTTTCTTTCAGATCTAAATAATATAGCTATCTTGTATCTTTGTTTATTCACCTATCACCGGCAAACAAACACACAAACAACTTAACCTATCTTATAACTTTCCAGTGAGTATGTACACCTACCGGTTTTTGAGTAATTTCCTCAGAAAAGTGTGGTAATAATTGAAATTATTGTTTTGTTAATAATTTATTGTGATTAGCGTGATAATGGAGTCTTTAGAAGCACAAGGGTAAGTTTAATCTATAGTGATATCACGGATTATTTTAGGTTTTACGTTTACACATCAAAACATAATTTTGCATTTTTATAATTTGAATAAAAAAATCGCATTGATACTAACTAAGTAGGTAGAAGGTAGTAGGAAGATAATAATTAATTAATAATATTATATAAATTATAATTTTCCATTACTTAGCTCTGAGTCTGAGGATAAAACGTACGAAAGTCGAACAAGTTCCCCAGGACCTGAGAAACCTTTAGACTGCCCGAGTGATGTTTGGGAGTAAGATTTTTTATTGAATAAATATTGTTATAATGGCCTTATATGCTTTTATTTAGCAGGAAAAAAAACAGAACAAAGTTTAGAAAATCGTTGAATCATGAATCAAAATACATAATCAAGATTGTACAGATTAATATAATAATAAGTTTAAATTTTAATGTCAGTTTATTTTCTTGTAAATCCATATTTAAAATATAAGGTCATGTAGTAATTGCTCATTTGCAGAAAAACATTTCAATCTAAACTTTTTTACAGTTCAATGCTAAATATGATAGACACAATAAATAAAGAAGACTCTATGCTTCCGTCTATTTATGGCTTGTAAGTTTATCTACTGAAAGTAGGTGAACCATGTTTTCTAAATGCACTTTTATTGTTTTAGAGATGAACACGTAAACTTTGAGATAGATTCAAACGACAATGACATGAACGGTGATTCGAAGTAAGATTGTTTTTAAATAAAGATATGAAACATTAAGTATGCTTGTTTTTAGTGCAAATGCGAGCGACTCCCAAAATGAAATTGTTTTAGAAATAATAGATATTAACGAGGATGGACAAGAAACAATTCTAAATAAAGAAAGTGTGACACTACCAGAAGATGAGACACAAACCCAACATGTAAACGAAACCATAATGGCCGAAGAAAATAATAATATTTTAGAAAATGTTGATACAAATACCCCTACCAGAAAACGCAAACGAAATCCAAATGGGTGGAAGCAAAATATACGGAAAGAAAACCGTCAACATGGTAAAGAATATATTAATACAAAGGGCAAGTTAGTTGCTCATAAATCGGTAAAAACAACTGGATGCAAAACAGAAAAATGTAGTTTTAAATGTGAAGAGAAAATTACAGTTATCGACAGAGAAAATATAAACAGAAAATTCTGGAGCCTTGGCGACGAAATAAAAAATCATTTTTATTCTAAGCATATTAGAAGATACCCAGCAATACGAAAAAGAACTAAAAATGAAAATAGCAGGAAGACTTATTCTTACGATTACTTTCTTTATGTCTCTGGTGTAAAAATTAAAGTGTGCCAAGAGTTTTTCCTGAATACTTTAAACATTAGCAAAAGTCGGGTTTACTACTTTTTTCAAAAAGTCGAAAGTCCCAAGTCCAACGTTCCACGGGCTCCTATTACAGGAAAACATCAGAAAAAGGTAGTTCCAGACGAAGATAAAGAAAAAGTTAGGAATCACATCTCATCGTTTCCTCTAGTAGAATCGCACTATTGTCGCCAAAATTCATCAAAAAAATATTTAGAGCAAAATCTAAATATCCAAAGAATGTATGACCTATATAAAACGACTGTTGAAAATCCCGTTAAATTTCATTTATACAAGTCCATTTTTAATAAGGAGTATAACATAAGTTTTTTTAAGCCAAAAAAGGACTTATGTGATAAATGCGAAGGTTTTAAAGTAAATAAAAATGCAAGTACAGAAGAAAAAATGGAATATGAAGAACACCTGAAAAGAAAAAATATAGGTAGACAAGAGCGACAGAGAGACAGGGAAGCCTATATTGATGATGATACGGTGGGAATAATCACTTTTGACCTAGAGAATACTTTTTCTTTACCTAAAGCAAATATTAGTAACTTTTTTTACAAAATGAAGTTATGTTGCTACAATTTAACGGCCCACTTGGATAAAACTAAAGTTGTTTATAATGCAATATGGCATGAGCTTATTTGCGGTAGAGCTGGTGTTCACATTGCCAATGCTATAATAAGAATTTTGAAAAGAGTTATTGAGGACAATCCGCAGCTAGAGAAAATTATTTTGTGGTCTGATAGTTGCGTACCACAAAACAGGAATTCCATTTTGTCATTCGCTCTACAGTATTTCCTTAACTCGCCAGAGTCTGGAAATTTGAGGAGGATTGAACAAAAGTTTGGAGAACCAGGACATGGCAATGTTCAGGAAGTCGACGCAGCTCACAGCTGCATTGAGAGATTTATTAAGAATTTGGAAATATGGAGTCCTCTAACTCTGGTTCGCATACTCTTGAAGATTCCAAATACATGGAAGCTGAAATTTTCTGTTTTACAGATGAAATCAGCTGACTACAAGAACTATCAACTGCTTTCTGGGACATTTAATTACAATGAGATTCCATACACAAAATTGAAACATATAATTTATGACAAGAGATCAATATTTAATGTTAAATTCAAAACATCATTTGAAGGAGAATCATCTGAGGTGAGGTTAGTGCCTCTGAAAAAATATAGAAATAACAACCATGTAGGCATAGAGTTTCCAACGTCTATCCCAAATATAAACTTGGCTGTAAAAATAAATGATGCGAAAAGAAAACATTTACTTGAAATGATGGATTATATGCCCGAAGATGAAAGAATATTCTATAAAAATTTAATGCCCACGGAGAAAACTGCTGCAAATAAGCAGATTATGGTGAAGAAAACCAATAAGCCATCCAAGGTTGGAAATAAGAAACCGAAGAAAAAAGGAATTGCATCTACAAGCAAGAAATGAAAATAGGAATAAGTTTGATATCTTTTTGAGAAGAATTTTTGATTTTGTATGCATTACTATTAAAGTTAAAGTGTGTGAAATACTTTAAAGAAATAATAAAATTATGTTGTTCTACATCCCTAACTTTTGTTCTATATCCCTAGAATTTCATTGGACTGCACTACTTTTTTGTATTTATTCCATATCCAAAATAAAAAACTTAAATATATTTTATTACAGACGTCCAAGACATGTTTAATTGGTTGTGATACAAATATGAATATATATATTCCATACAAAGAAATTTTCAATGGGACTTTGCCTATATTATTCAGAAAAAACGAGATTAAACTTCAAACCTTGTTTCCTCGTTTTGAACTAAATGGACATAGAACACTTTAACACTACGGTGACGAAAAGTTGGCTGTTTGTTCCAGTTTGTCACTCTTTGAAAGTAGACCTTCAACTGTTTTACTTTTCAATTGTAAATCTAGAAGGCATCAAATGGATTAGAAATGGTATTTTCTCTAATAAAATTGCACATGATGAAATTCTATGACCCCTTGACCATAATTCAATATTTTACAGCAAAAATTTAGTTTTTATTAATATTGTACCGACCTTAATTTGAGGGTATATGTGGGTGAAGCAAGATGTTGTTTATAAAGGTAGCAAATACATTATATTTCCAACAAATACCAGAAAACAACTTAAAATTTAAACATAGGAAAAAACATAAGTATTTTAGTCGAGGGGGTAACATCTGGCGGCAATACTGTCACAAATTCTTAACAATCGCTTGCAATCACTTAAACTGCCGTGGCAATCTCAGTCGCAGTCCCGCAATCGCGTTTGCAATCTCACAATCGCTTTAAAACAATCCTGCAATCGCATTCGCAGCCTCACAATCTGACAATCACATTGGCAATCGCGTACGCCTCCACCTGTTCCCAGGTACAATCGTGTGCCGCGCATGCGCAGCCGCGCGTTTATTTGTTTGTAAATAGTGAGAGTCAGCGCAGTCGGCAAAGAGAAAGATTGACAGACAAATTTCTTGCTATTTTATGATATTTATTTGCGATTAAAATGTTATTAAACTGTGGTGGGATTAT